CTGCTTTGCCTGTTTTAGCTGTCAAAAGCGGTGGCCACCGAGAATTTGTATGTCTTCCTTCTGCAATTCCTAATGGCAGAGAGTTACCCATTTAATCCAGCAATCCAATCAGTCAGCAGTCCAGGTAGCCAACATATTTACTCAATATCTATTACATGGGTCACTACAGAAGTTTACATGAGGCAGACGGCTATGGTCCATTATTTCACTTCCAAGAAACCCAGACGACAGTGTCCTTTTTAGATTCATCTGTGCAAGTTTCAATTTGCTGGGAGGGCTTCATCTGTTTCTCCCCCCGATAGATTTCTCCTCTCCCATAGTAGGGAGCCTGGTACATGATAAAATCTCAGTAAGTGGAGATTATTATCCTAATCATCCCAGTAATAAAACTATCTATTTAGTTTACTTAAACTATAAAATCTAGACTAACTTTATCCATGTAGTCGTTGCCATAGTATCCATGTGGACCAGTTTGCTTAACAACTATGTGGGTCATCACAAAAGTTTTGAGACACTAAAAGAACAAAAATATTTCTTCTAAAAAATAAACAATCTGATGCCTGCTCTATTTAACATCTGCCTTAAAAGTCTGTGCTACAGATTTCATGTTTCTTATAATTGTCATTTTCTTCTACACATGCAGAAGGCAAAGAGGGAAAACACAGGCAGGCCTTCTTCATTTTGAGCATTGAGTATGTTTTCCACTTGCCCTTTCTGAGCCTTCTCCATCCTGGCCAGTGCCCTAGAAAACTGAACTATGGGAAACGCATTTAGGGCTCCCTTGCCTCTGGTTACCAGTTCAGTTTGGTCAACAGGAGACACCAACAGGAGATTGAATCGTAAGAGATGAAATGGTGTTCTGGGGACAGCCAAGTCTGCACGTCTTTCTCCAAGTCTGACATCCTGTTATGAGCTTATATTATCCATCATAAGAAAATGCACACCATGCCATTGAACAAAGGCTAGAAACTAGGATTCTCAGTTTGGAAGGTCAGATTACGAGATCGCCAGTGTACCACTAGAGGAGTGTAGGTCCAGGCATTTATTTCTTTCATTCCCTCTGCACTTGGCCATCCAGCTTGGTTGTGTATCTCCACTGAGGAAGTATGGAAGGAGACACCTTTTCCCTGTAAGCTGAAAGGAGACAGTGGTTTCCTCCCCTGCTCACCTGGGCTACTGAACCATCTCTCTTGCTTCTCTAATCCTGCACCATCCCACGTAGTGCTCCCTAGATACATCTAGCTATTGACCTGTGGTCTAATGATCATGATGACATGATTGATGAGCTAAATTTTGTATTTTATTTGGTCAAAGTGAATTAAAACTTATATTTAAGGGTGGTGCCTATGGTTCAGTGAGAAGGGCGCCGGCCCTTTATACCAAGGGTGGCGGGTTAAAACCTGGCCCCGGCCAAACTGCAACAAAAAAATAGCCAGGCATTGTGGTGGGCTCCTGTAGTCCCAGCTACTCAGGAGGCTGAGACAAGAGAATTACCTAAGCCCAAGAGCTGGAGGTTGCTGTGAGCTGTGATGCTGTGGCGCTCTACCAAGGGCGAGGAAGTGAGATTTTTACTTAAGGATTTACTATTTGAATAGAAATGGGCTATATAGTACTGTAGCAGATTTTAAGGACCTAATATGAAAAGAGAGGAAAACATTTTACTAATATTTTTCATGTTAATTCATAATAAAATAATATTTCGGGTATATTACATGAAATTTATTATTAAGATTAATTTTGCCTGTATTTTTAACCTCTTTAAAGTGTTCACTAGAAAATTTTAAATTCCTATGTATCTTCCACTGTTGGATAGACCCACTCTAAATCTCGCCCTAACTACTGTAAGTGGTGCCATTATTATATTCTCCTCAATTGCAAAGGTTGAATAAGCCATCAGTATCCTCCTGAGACTCAAACTTAAGCCACCAAAACCCAAAACAAAGCCATTCCTTGTGACTAATCTTTTTAAACCTCATGGGCTAAATTACCACCTTGCTTTTAAAGATAAAAGAAATAGGCTTTGGGGGGGGAAGACATTCAGTGGACACTGTTAGCTAGAGCCTGTTTGACCTCTAGTTGATAGAATTTTATAGTGTGCTCTAGTGGAATAATCCCCCCCATGCTCCCCAAATGGAAGGACAAATTACTATTTTTAAGTAGCGATCATATGCCAGATAATTTGGGGGCAATAGTCCTGATAAATAGAAATGTTCCAAGGTTCTCTCATTTTACAGACCAGGACACTGAGGCATGGAGAAATTACTTGCTCAAATCACACAGCTGGTAAACATGGAAGCCAGAATCAGGACTGGGTTTGTTTGACTTTATAGTCCAGGATCCTTCTAGCACACTACACATAAATATTCCTTACTCCAAGGTGTTTTAAACAAAATTTATGGGGGAAAGTTGTTGATTTTACTAGATATTGATCTTAAAGCTTTCCTCAAAAGGTAGGTGGTCTCCAGCATGCCTTACCCCTCCCACGCCAGCGCCTCAGACCACATTCCACCTCTCCCTTCACCCTAGGTAACCACTTTGAAAAAGACCTAAGAAAGACCAGAGCTTAACAGTATTTACATGGAAAAGTTGCTTTTAGGGGTGGCTTGTCTGGTCACTTGTGGGTGGTTGAGGGGAGATTTGGTGGACTCATACAGGCCAGTTTGGGCATCCTATAGTCAGCTGAACCTGGCCCCAGCTCGGGCCCAGTTCTATTCCACCCTACCCAAGACCCTTAATCCTAGTACACTTGGACATGAGACAGTCTTGTTTCCCCTTTAGGACACAAGGGAAAAATGCAAGTAGAGAGGTGTAAACTGTACCCAAATAACAAATGGACGGAGGTCGTCTGCCTCAGGCTGAAGACTTCACAGTGCTGCCTCTTGTTCTTATTTCCAATCTAGACATAATTTGATCCTCCTGCAGTGTGGCTCTTCATGGGAGTTTTAAAATGATGTTTACACACATGTTAGCACTCATGGCACTGGACTTCACTTATCCTCCCTTGCTAAATGGGTGTGAAATAAAAATATTTTTGTAAATGCAGGTAGGCCCTGTACTTGAACTCATGTTAATTCCCGAATTGTTCACAGCTGTGTGACATTAAACACTAACAGGAGAGTAACAGGAACCTCCAGGATCACTGCAAAATTGGTCATGGTTTTGTACTCCTTATTTAGTGCAAGGAATCCTTTGGGTGCGTAATAAAACTGACTGTTGGATTAGATGTAACAAAGCAAGGATCACTTCCTCCTATATACATTTTATATTTTTGGCCTGATCTGATAATGCCGTGTGAACACCTAGATATCCTCCCATCTGAACACCTTTGAGAACAGAAGCAAGGATACTTGGAGTTTAAACACGGAGCTGGGAATCAGGTTGACCTGAGTTCAACTGTGTGAGCTAAGTGCTATGTGACTATGAACCAGTTCCTTTACCTGGATTTCCTCATCTGCAAGAAGACGGCAGCGTCATTTATGGCAGTTAGAATTTCCCACATGCAAGCAACAGAAATCAATTCTTAATCAACTAATATTTTCTTAAAAAGGAATTTATTATAAAAAGATGAGGTAGCCAAAGGAATCAAGCGAAGGACTGAATTGGATCTCGGGATAGTCTGTGCCCCTGGAACACCAGGGGTCGCTAAAATAAGAAATTGTAAGAATTACTAGGGTGCCATAACTAGAATCGAAGAGCTACTCAAATTGCATCCTTATGTGTCCTAATTTAAAGTGCAAATTCCTAAGAAAAAGTCTGAGTGGCAGACTGAGATCCTGCATCCCTTTCCTTGGGCAGGGGAGGGCAGGGGAGGACAGGGGACAAGGGGGCAGGGCACCCCCACTGACAACTCCATCAAACTGCAGTCAATGCCAGAGGCCAGGTTCTCAAATAAAACATCAGTGTGGCATTACCAAAGGGACACGCGTGTTGACAAGCAAAAGAAATAGAAGTATGTTATAGACTCCCGACGTACAGAGTCATTATGCTATTTAAATGAGATAAGTGACAAAGGCACACATAGTGACAGTTCATATACGTTATTAATAAAGATAATTTTAGAAAATGATTAGAAAGGACTCATAATCCCATTTACTCTTCACTACTGAGAATGATTATGTTCTCAAAAGGCATATTTTATTTACATGCATGCCTATGTGAATAAACATAAACAAATTTTCATAGTAGTCCTTTCATTTAAAATGTTATTAACAGGACATTTGAGCATTTTACTATCTAACGAGGTGGAGCTCTAATGGAAACAAAATAAGTAGCAATTATGTCCCAAGTAGTTGGCGTGCAGTTATTTAATTCAAAGATCTGTCTTTTCCATTTCAAACATAAGCCAACAATAAATCCCACATCATCTATTTTAGTTATGGTAAATCATAGTTGTATGTGGTAATGATTATGGCTAATTGTGGGATAAAGGATTTAATTTTAGAGTATGAATGAAATATACTTTTGTTGACGTTTTGTGCATGACAGTCTGGGAACAATAGGGAGAGCTAACAGCTATGTGATATAAATTCCCCTATAGAGAGAATAAGATGGAATAATAAATCAAGGATTCTGATTGTTAATGATGGTTTTAGAAGCCCAGGCTCCCCATAGTTAGAATATACCATCTGCTTCAAATTAGGAAGACTGTAGCCTCTTCTGACATGAGTTCCCTGATGATGGGATGTCTGTGTGTGCGTATATGAGAGAGAGTAAGTCACTCCTGTTATATGGAAAGGAAAATCTACAACACTTGTCTGAACTATTAGTTTATGGAGGGATATATCCTGTGGTAAACTGCTATTCTATACTAAAAGATTGCCAATCTACCTTAAAATTCATAAGTTTTTAAAGAACATAAAGAGATCATTTATTCAGCGATTGTTCTGAAATTGTTTATGGACTGCGTGACACCAAGATCTTAAAAGGAATTGGCTCTATATTTTTTTAAACCTCTGTTTTCGCTCCACGATAGACAATGTCTTTCATTAAAATCAACATTTAGCCCTGTCAAAGCAAATCCTCAAACAATGAAGTAAGACTCAAAGTTAGTCTCCCCTTTGGAAATCATTAGTAAAAGCCAAAATATTTATACATAATGTGGAAGAGCCAGAGTGTGCCCTTTGCTTCCATAACCGGTCTCAAGAGAAATTCCTAGTGCATGACAGTGAACGTTTAGTGATAAGAAATAGTGCCTGCCAACACTTGCCAGGGATTTCTATACATAAATGTGAGTCAATGCAAATTAAAAGTGATGCCATTTTATGACTGCACTGTGCACTGTGCACCGTAGGTATTAAAGTGAGTCTGCATGGGGCAGTGCCGTTTTCCATTTCCCCAGCACTGTGTCAGTGATTCTGTCGTTCTGCAGCCCCCTACTATGTGGGGCCTGTTGGCTTTGTTTTTCGATTTAGCCATTCCGGTAGGTGTCTACTTCTGCCTCATTGTGGTTTTCATGTGCATTTCCCTAATAACTAATAATGCTGATTCTGTCTGCAGGCACATGCCTCCATCCATATAGCTCCTGAGATGAAATGTCTCTTCAGGTCTTTTGCCTTTCTAATTTGATTGTCCTTTTTGTTATACATTTTATATATGCTAGTTATTAGACCTTTATCAGATTGTGGTTTGCAAACATTTTCCCTCACTCTGTCACATGGCTCTTAATTTTTTTATACAGGGTCTTCAACACAGCACAGTTTTCACTTTTAATAGTGTCAAATTTATCATTTTTTCTTTGTTTGGATTGTGCTGTGGGTGTCAAGTCAAAGAGCTCTTTACCTAGATCCCAAAGTCTTTTCCTATTTTCTAAAAGATTTATAGTTTTATGCTTACATTGAGCTCTGTGATTCACTTATTCATTTTGAGTTAATTTTTACATTAGATGTGAGGCTTGATTTAGGCCAAGTTTCTTTTTTCTTTTTTTCTTTCTCCCTCCCTTCCTTCCTTCCTTCCTTCCTTCCTTTCTCCCTTCCTTCCTTCCTTCCTTCCCTCCTTCCTTCTTTCCTTCCTTCCTTCACTCCTTCCTTCCTTCCTTCCTTCTTTTGTCTAAGCACATACAACTGCTCCTGCGCCATTCATCATAAAGACAATGCTTCCTCCATTGAGTTTTTTAATCACCCTAAAATGATGCCCTTCCTTTCTTCTTCCTTCTTCAAGATATCTCTCTCCCTGTCTCACTTGCTCGATTGCTCCCTCATTTGAGCCACTGCTTACCATATTCTACAGTATCTTAGTTACAAATTAAAGTGTCTTTCTATAACTTCAGATTCATCACTTTTATGCTATGAGATTTGATGTTTAATATGAATATGGAAGATGTGAATTGACATTTTCTTATATATTTATAGATTATAAATACATTATCTTATATATTATGTATTTATGAAACACCTAAATTGTCATTTCACTGGTCAAGTTATGTACTTTCATGATTTGTCACATTAATTAACAAGCAAAAGAGTAGATTAAGATAAGCAAAATACTTTCAGTCTTCTCTTTGTTATACAATGTCCCCAGGGCCAGCAGCCCTGATGCATTTGAATCTCTTTCAGTTCTGGTGTATTAGTAGCAACAGAAACTAGGGAATAAGGCCAGGGCGACTCTGGCTCATGGGAGTGGTCAGGAGAGCACCAACAGGCACAGGGATTCCGCCCCTTTCCTCTTTCTTCCCTTTCTTCAGCCTTCTTTGCTCCCTCCCTGCGGTCTTCTCTCTTTTCCTCCCTTCTTTCCTTCTTTCTTCTCTCCTTCCTTCCTTAGTTCTACAAATATTTAGTGGATACTTGAGAATAAAGTGGTGTATGGAGTGGATGGGTCTTTGCTCTTATGGAGGTTCTAGTCTAGTGAAAGGCAAAGAAAGGGCTCGGTGCCTGTGGCTCAAGTGGTTAAGGTGCCAGCCACATATACCTAAGGTGGCAGGTTTGAATCCAGCCCAGGCCCACCAAAAACCAATGACGGCTGCAACCAAAAAATAGCCAGGTGTTGTGGTGGGCGCCTGTGGTCCCAGTTACTTGGGAGGCTGAGGCAGGAGACTCGCTTGAGCCCAGGAGTTGGAGGTTGCTGTGTGAGCTGTGAGGTCACGGTACTCTACCCAGAGGGATACTCAAAAAAAAAAAAAAAACAAAGAAAGTAACTAAATAAGTGAATAATCACAGATTGGAATAAAGATGATCTCATTAGGTTTTATCATTGTCCTACATTGAAAAATTCAAATCTTGGACTATTATGTCAATTGCAATGTTAGAATTATAAAATATATCATTTGGGGATATTATTGTTAAATTCATTGATAATATTTTATCAATTCACCCGGTATTTATAGAGCATGAACATTTACAGCATGGCCCTCCCTGCTATATCCTCAAAGAAAAAAACTGCATAATTTCTGATTCCCAAGAATTTATAATTTCGCAGAATAGATAAAATTACATTTTAACCCATAAGTATATTTAATAAGTGTTATATAAATAGGATGAATCTTACATAAAAGTAAAACAAAAATGATTCTGTGAAGAGGAAAAATCCTCTTCCTCTGGATTGATTATAGAATGCATCCTTGGAGGACAATAGAGAAATGGACTCTGAAGTAAACCTTAAAGTTAGGGAGGCTTTCAAAGAGCACAGAGGAGACAAAGGGTGGAAAAATGAAAAAAGAGAAGATGGGGGCAGCACCTGTGGCTCAAAGGAGTAGGGCGCCAACCCCATATGCCAGAGGTGGCGGGTTCAAACCCAGCCCTGGCCAAAAACTGCAAAAAAAAAAAAAGAAAAGAGAGAGAGAGAGAGAGAAGATGGCTGATGTAAGAAAGCTTCAGCATGGAAAGATAAGGAAGCTCCTTTGTTTCAGGCAATGATAGAAACACCAGTTTGAGATTATAGCTAAGAAGAAGATTCAAAATACAGATTGAGTCCAAATCATATCAGTTAGAAGGGCACACTTAAGTCTTTAAGTCTGACTTAATCTATACAAAAACAGAGTATATAAATGAAACATGTCTACCCCCTAATATTCTGAAATAAAATTTAAAAAATTCAAAAATTTTTAAAAACTCCAAAATACAAAGAGACCAAGCACACAGTAACACTTTTTGAATATTATTGGGGAGATACCTATTTGTACTTAGACTTTATACTCACAACAGCTTCCAAAGGAATTCAAAAAAGGTATAGGTTTGAAGTAGTATAGGGGGAATGTTGTCATTTGTGTAGCTGCTTTTTAAGATATTAAACTGAAGAATGGATGAAATGTAACATTTCATACTAAAATGCCTATTTCCCCCATTAAAAGTTAGAAATATCTATTTGTATAATGTGTCAATATAAAATCATAATTATTTTATTGTTAATTCATTTTTTTCTTCTATTTAGACAACTTAAGTATCCCTAAGACACAATTTGCTTTACTCTGTGTCCATCCTTTTTTCCAATATTGGGTGAACCCTAATCATTAAATAGCAGAGCCAACCAACTTTAAATGGTTTTAAAAGGATTCTATGATACGCTACATGGACAAAATTATAAGCAAATTCTTTCCACTCGTTTGCTTTTACATTTGAACAATATGTTCAGAAGTCTGAGTCCTGCTCTAGAATGAATCCTGGCTCATGTGGCTTGCTCTCTTTGAGTGGGGGAGATAATAACAATGCTTCTTTCATATGGCTGATGGAAGGATCAATGAGATCCTGTGTAATTTTTTTCAAAAATTAGTAGAGATCAAATCTAATATTGTTAGACAATAGGGTTGATGATGACTTGGTAGCATTAGTGAAAGTAGCAAGAATATCACAGTATTTTCCTTGACACATAAAACCTGCCTAATAAGTTTGCTGATGATGAAGAAATCGTGTTCTATAAACTCTAGCTCACAAATAATTCAGCATGTCTTGTCTTATTTAATGATAGTAAATTATCCAGAATAGAAGAGTTGCATTGTGTGTGTGTAAAACTAATAAATATATAATCAAACAGAAAATCCTCACAGAATTACTTGTTATGCTTTAGGGAAAAAACATCGAGTGTGATGCTGAATAAGTCAATATGTGTCTTCTATGGGGTTCCATTTGTTTAAGCAAACATAGTACACACGACATCATAGTTAATATATAACATGCAAAAACGTTAGGAAGTTGAAGTTTAAAAGACAAATTTATACTATGGCTATTCATATATATATGTGTGTGCATATATGTACACACATCTATAGGTATATATCAGTATATGTAAATACATAAACACATATATGGTATAGCTCTATAACCACATATTCTAAGTTGAAATTAGTAATCCTAGTGCCTCAGAATGTACTGAAATTCAAACCACATTGACAGAGAACAGAACATGGTGAAACAAAATAAACACACATCTAGCTATACAGCCCCTTTTCAAGTTTAAACTTATTTATAGCATATGGGGCAGGGGGAAGTTTTCTGTATTATAGAGTGATTGGTGTAGCAGCAACTGTAAATACATCAGAAATGAAGTTTTCTGTGCAGGTTTGGGGATGAGTAATTTAAGACTTGCAGTAGTATTTAAAGTGACTAGTTTTGTGAATTATTCCCTTATGAATCTACTTGACCACTTATAAAAGTCATATGTGGTTCAGTGTCACGGCTGAACCAAAAAACACACACCTGGGTATGATGATGTAGGAAAAAAGGCAGAAACTGCACGTGTGCCTGAGGACAGCGCATTTGAGTAAGTCGGTAGGAAGACTGGGAATAGCCCAGCATCCGCATGTGTGTCCCACACTCAGCAGGGCGATCGGAACATGTGCGAGCCTGCATGGTTTTGGCCATGGTTATCAATGCTGTCCGACAGTGACGTGCGGCTCCATCTAGGATAAGTCATGACTATCTAATTACCACGGAGTGGCCTATTTACGGTACACAGGAGGATACCTTGCTGGGTTTGTTCCCCACAGTTATTAAATCTTAATGGCATTTAAAATCCAAGATGCAGTATGACTTTGCACAAGATGACAGGATGCTTCCTACACGCTTCCTGTCTCTGAAAAAAATGATATTAAGTAGTCTGATTAGAACGCAGGGAATGGAAACAATGGGCCCGAACAGCCTGGGTTTGGAGTCAGATGAACTTGCCTTGGATCCTGTATCTTGATTTAA